AACTACGAAACTTTTGAATCAATACTTTCACTTCCTGACTTTGACTTTTTTCTTTTAGATCAACATATCTTTTTAGCTAAGGACTACTTTATCAGTCCTCCAAATACCTATGTGGTTCTGCTTCAGCCTGGCTGGTTTTTTTCATTTTCTGTTTTGCTTTTTTTCTTTTAGCTGTAGATGGTTACTTCTTACTCTCAGAGAAAGAACTTGCCTGGTTCAGGCCCCCAAAGTATCTTCTACTCACACAGCTTTATGAAACACAGCAAAAGCATTTCCAATTTATTCTATGTCATGCTCTGAGTCTTCAAGAAAAGTAAATTCACACGGAGACTCAAATCCCATGTTGCTTCCAGTTTACACAGTGCTACTGGGTTCAGAGCTAATTAATAAATTATGCAACCTAGAAAAGCCTGTTTGCCTCGTTTCAGTTATTACAACCAACTTTTTCTGAGAAAATAAATTATCACAGCTTTGTATAGCCTCCAACTTTGGTATAATTTATCCTACATCAAGTCCAGCTAAAAAGACATACAAGTGTTCTAGCACAACAAATGAAAGTCTCCAAGACTGTCCAAAGACTAAAGCTTAAATACAAACTCGTGGGACTCCTCCAGAAAAAGGGAAAATATGTTAGGATGCCAAATCATGGCTTAAAAGAAAAAGCCATGCTCCTGACATTGTCTGGAGTCCAAGAACCACAGCCTTCAAAGGTAAGTAGATCAAAGGCTCTTGTATTCTCTCTGAAGGGATCCAGTGAAAGCAATCGCTGATATTCACCAATGTTACTGATCCTTGTATGCTTCAAAGAATAAAAAAGGCACAGGAAACAGATGAGGCAGTACATGCCTACCCCATGTAATTACCTCAAGGGAACTGAGTATATTGATATCCATCTGAGATAAAGCTTGACCTTTCACTACCTATCTTCATGGAGCTCTGCAAATTTAGGTGTCTGGACTAACAAGATTGTAAGGACAGGCTGTTTATGTTTCTTCAAGCTCTAGTAACAAAACCACCATCTGTTTAACTGTGTTAACTTTCATGTAAAGGTTTGCATTCTCTGAAATCACAGAAGATAATTTGTTTTCAAAAAACTTAGTTGGCAGAAGCTGCTAGCAGTAATTACCTGAATCAAGAGATGGTTGCAAGTAGTGAAAAGTACTGTTTGGATATTAGACAGAGTTTATTCTGATATCCAATTAACACACAGAACAGATGCTTTAAATAAGCACAAACTGTTTATTGTACCAAAAAAAAACCAACCAAAAAAACCCAAAAACTAAATAGGGAGATCTGCTTTCCTGGGTAAGATGCATTGAATAGAATTATCCAGTTCAGAGGAAAAGTGAAAGGCTGTTTAAGGCTCTTGTTGTATTTTAATAACATAAGTACTTACATCTCTATAAGCACTAATATTGAAGTTCCTAACGCAACTGGTACCATAACTGTAAGAGCCATACAACAAATACATGTAATTCAGGTATTTCCTACAGTAATTCCAGAAAAAGAAATATAGTCCCTAAAAACCCCCCTTTTTTTTTTGAGGGTAAAGTTTTTGTTTAAGAGTTCTTTCCATTTTTCCAAAATGTAATTTTCATGGATCAGAAATACTCTAAACACAGATACCTTTGCCTCTCAAATAAATAGCTTCATACATTCAGAAAAAAGATTCTCACAAGGAACAAAAGGAACATTACTGAATGCAGCAATGTAATTCAACATTTAACCATTATTCTTACACTGATCTGAATAATCTAATACAGAAAAGTACCTTTAAGCATCTCTTAAAGACTTAGTTGGAAAATTACTACTTATGGATTTTCACAATTTTTAACTAACATTACTAAGTTTAAATTTAGAAAGCAGATCTTGAGGTAAAACTTGTAAAGTTCTAATGGTTTGGAAAATTCCAAAAATGCTTCTAATTAGCTTACATTTTATCTCTATTATTATCCCTTGATTTTCAGAACATATTCATAATAAAAGAATACTTCAGGTCTTAAAGACTCACATCTCTATCACTAACTTAGTGTAATGTAATTTGCAACTTTTAAGTGTTTAGAAAAAATACAGAGTTGTTGAAAGAGTGCTCATGTTCAACGCTTAACGGGATAGTGGAGCTTCACATAGTAGCAAATGGACAGCATTATTCCATGCATAGGTAGTACCTGACTCAAGACTACTTCTTAAAGATAAAACATCCTTGCTGATCTGAGAAACTAATGTAATTCACAGAATCAAATGCTCTGACAAAATCTGTTTGTTAAGGAAACTTAAGTGAACATAGATAGCACCTTGGGGGATTTGGGTTTAGCATGATTAAATCAACCAACCAAGACTGTTCTAAAAAATGTAGGTGAGGAACTCACATCTTTTATGAACTTTCTGTGGGGCCAAAAGGAATATTCATGAAAGGATCTTGTACAGAAAGTTATTCCTGTGCACAGATATCTATGATAAAACATCTTGTAGCAACGTGAAAATATGAATTTGCTAAAATAGAGAGGAGCACCTGAGAAAACAGTTCTGATGAAAGTTAAAAAGAACAACTGTAGACAAATAAAAGCATTAAAATGTCAAACATACTAGAAATCCCGAGAATCAAATTGTTTTACCAATATGTAACTCCTAGTGTAAAGCATTAACACTCCTTTCAGGACCTAGTATGTTTACATGATGTGTGGTTTACATTCTTGGTGCATGTATAACGTTTAAATATGTTACTGTATTTTTGAAATTAATTTCTGCAGAATTCATTACTCCAGATTTATTTCACATCAAATAATAAAATCAGAATGGGCAATCTTCTGTAATTTTAACCCTTTATTTGTGACTACATGAAAGATGAACATGACCCATGTGTTCAGACTCACATTCATTTTCTAAAAACCTGTAATGATGAAAAGCAATGCAGTTCTGCATTTCAAAAGTTAAGTACTTTCAAAAGTCATAGATATAGTTTCCACAAGACTTCCCAGATGGACTGACTGTAACCTTACATTTGACAGTATCTATGGTTCATAAGTCCCAGTACCTTGAACTTCAGAAGCAAAAGCTACAGGTCAGAGGCACTTGTTTTCTCTAATGCAAGAGACATAATAACACATATGAGGACAGACATGAGCTGCTTGTACAAATCAAGGGCTAGTTTTTGAGCTTGGACAGAAAAAACAGGAGAATTTTCATAACTTCCAGAAGGAAGGAATGAATGGTATCTGGCTATTCTTGGAAGGTTAACAGCTTCCAGACTGATTACAGAAAGCCATGCTATGGTAGCAATGTCAACAAGACAGAAGAAATTTTTCTAGACTGATAACTACTCCAGTCTAACAGGCAGTAGCCAAAAAATCCCTATGTTTCACTTGAGGATGCTGAATTTGGCTGGTCTAACCTCAAATACAAAGATGGACATTGGAAGGAATGGAGAAATGGACCAAGAACAAGCACTGGAAGAACACTAGTTCAAAAAAACTTAAGTCTGAAGAGAAAGATTTTATCTGCAACATTAATTTTTCATATTTTTTGGACCGCTCATATATGGAAACCTACCAGAATGAAAGAAAAAAAATTAACAAAACCAAACAAACAAAAACCTCAAATCATATTCTCTGTAAGAATAAGAAGTTGCATACAAGAAAAACTCAATATGAGGTAGCTTGTTACCTAAAACTACTGATCCAACAGCCATTCCTCCAAACAAGGCTCTTTAGAACACAAAGATTCTTTTTTAAAACAAAACAAAACAAACAAAAAAGAAGAAAACAAACAAAAAAGTCAAATCAATGGTACAGGCCTTCTCCAGCTCAAGGAGAAGTTCTCTACATTGCTGTTGTAGAACTCAAGCTCAAATTAAAATCAACCAGGCAGGATGAGATTACAGTTAAGCTAACTGACGTTATTTTTGGACCAAAATGGATCTTGATATATTCAGTTTCCTAGCTGTGAAGACTGCACACATTTTCACAAATTTTTAACATTAAAAATATTTCCTTTTCTTTGAGAAAAAAAGATTGAATTTTTTAATTCAACTACACAATCTTACATTCAGACTTCTTTTGGCCTTATTTTAATGAAGAGCTTTAAGGTGTTTATAATACAGCACGGGTTTTAACTATGTTACTAAAAACATCTTGTAACCATACATACAGAAAGGTTCTCTCAGGCCCATGAACGTCCTTACTTGTAGGAAAACCAGTTTCTTTTTTCTCCACTATTGCTTGCGTGAATAAATCAACATAAATACTTACATGTATAGACCCATATAACCCTAGACTGAAAGAGATGCCACCTCTTTTTCTAACTTATTCTACTACCTTGAGTCTCTTTCCACATCTCCACTCTGCACCAACCACAAAGTCTTCATAAATCTTCTCTTTCTCTAAAGTTCAGCTACTACTATCCTGTAATTCACCTACTACTCATCAGTTCTCTGTCCTCCAGCACCATTCTTCTTCCCGACATTTTCTCACACCCAACATAATTTACTTAAGTCAGCCAAGGAAGAAGACTTAGTACTATGTATCCTAGATCGGTCAGGGGAATATAACAAAGCCATTCTTCCAAAACCTGTCTGTTGCCACAGACACAGCAGATTGTGCTGAGCAGGAAAGGAATCCCAAGCAATTTCACGTGCCTTCACACACTTCACCCCTTTTTCTATTTTGTGTTACCAGGTTAAAACTTTCCACCACTATTCAAAAACTGAAAATGAAGATTATCCACAATAAATTATATGCAACTTCTAGACAGAAGTCTTAAAGATTCATCTAGCTCCCTGAAGTTAAAAGTAATGTTTTCATAATAATGTAAGTGTATACAGATTAAAAAAAATTGTTATAAACTTGCCACATATGTTTTACCATACTTGTCCCAAACACTACTGGAGACAGTACCCTATCATAACTACTATTTTCAACATTTTTGCTTTGGCAAATAAGCTACAACAGATATTTTCTCTATCAACCCATAATACGTATCATTACTGATACGGACCTGTGATTAATAGAATGCCAGGTTGTGAACCTTGACTTGGTTTAACAAATTCCATCAGACTGTTTCGTTTTCTAGTGACTGAAAACTATAGAGAGCGTGAACTGTAAGAGGTACTCAAGCTGTCTACTGCCATTTTACAATGAATTTAAAAGATAACTTACACATTCAGTTTTTCCAAATTCTCTTGGGCATTGTGCTTTTCTCTCTCATATGCATTTTCTACTTCTTTGAACTCTTTCTTGATCATTTCTAAATCCGAAAGCGCTTCTGCTTGGCTGGCTTTTTCCACCTGCAAAGCTCCTTCAAGGTCTCGAACTCTTAACTACCAAGTAATAGAAAAGCAATTAAAGCAAGTTAGAAAAAACTATCATGATCTTTAATGCTGTTCTGTATTTTGTTCTGCTTCGCAGGTAACTATTCTATTAATTCTATACAGAAACATATACACAGAAAGCATTGAACGTATATAAAAATGTATGAATAAATACAGTTCAAAACAGAGACAAATAGATATGCTGACCAAATGCACCTTTTATTCTTCTTTGGTGGTGTCTGAATTTTTCCTTTTTCAGTTATTACTAAAGTTTTACAGGGGAATTCTATTTTTAGGTAGACTCATGAAAGTCTGGGATTAACAGTAAAGGCTATACTTCCACTCTGCACAAAGCACACTTTAAGCTTGTTCACATACATGAACAAGGAAGAAAACCTTTCCAGTCATTCACCCTATAAAAGACAAGTCTCTAACTTTAAGGAATGCTACCATCCCAGTTCCTTTGTATGTTGTAAAAGTAGAGAGAGGAAATTAAGAAAATTAAATCTTTCCTTTCTGCTAGTTTAATTGTCACTTTAAAAAAATTCTGTGCCTGTACATAGAGAAGATCATGAGAATAAGAAAATAACTGACTGAAGAATGGCAATACTTGTTTTTGTTACTCAAAAAATAAGAAAAAAATATACAAAAATTCCTTTTTTTTTGCTTGCTTTTTCAAAAGTACAGTGTTAAGGGCCTGTTAGTAAGACATTACTAAGATTACAATTGTCATCTAGCTTTTTCTTGCTTGCTTTTTAAAATAAACTGTAATTGCTTTATTATGTCAAACCCTGTGTGATACAGCTTAATAATACAAAGATCCAATATCAAGATATACTACGTGTTTTCAGATAATCTTTACTGGTAGCTGCAGATATCACAACTTTCTTTGAAGCTGGTATGTATTCTGAATAACTGTATTTGGAACTGTGGGTTCAGGATGCATTAAGGTCTCACTCTTAGAGAAGCTGGATGTATGCACTGTATCTCCAAATAGCTGGAAATTCAAATGATACGGAGCAGGATACTTACACAGTATTATTTAACTATTGTGAAACATTTCCTTTCCCTGCACTGTTTAAATGCTAGTATGAATTCTCAAACTTACAAATGTGACATTTTATTTTATTATTTATTCTAATAACCTTAATGTTCCCTTAAAAGCAGATATTTTTCTTTTTTATCCTTTTATTTTAAGCCATTACAATTTTGACACTTATTGCAAAAAAACTATTCAGTGTTTTCACTAAAGCACGTAAGTGGTCTTAACATTTTTGGAAGATTGTATCTTTACCTTATCAACTGTTTCACTGTAAAGCTCTACAAAATACTTAACAAAAAGTTTACCTGGATGATCTCTGAATTGAATTTGGATTTCAAATGTGCTGCTCTCTCTGCTTCAATGTTTTCTTCCAGTTTCTTTATTCTTACTGTAGCTGCCTAAAAGTACATTTTTAAGAAATTTAAGTCCAGAGAGATGGTAAACTTGACACACAGACTATTCTGTTCATTCAGTGTATTAAGGGCTCTCTACACTAATGTGATATATCTGAACTACTTGTACTTTGGGCCTGTGAGAACTTACACCAATAAATACATATAAAATAACTTTTACATATCTAGAATATTTAATTATTCTTTTCTATTTAGTTAAAAAATTGATGTAGCATTATGTTATTGCTGTATTTTTTACAATCAAGAAAACTGCAGCTGGAGACAGAAAGCAGGAAGACCAGATTAAAAATTTTACCTGTTCCCTTACAATTTGCTTTTCCACCAAGGTTGTCACCTGAGGCAATGTAACCACTCTTTGTATATTCCAAAATACAATGGCGTATCAAAAGAGTATCCATAATTTCAGATACAAGACAGAGCTTCTCTGAAGCACAGATTAGATACAGAATTCCTAAAAAATACATTGGCTTTGGCACCTAATTTCCAGTTAAGGTGCCCAGGACAGATTGCTTTGCAGCCCTAGTCTAGGCC